GATTGTGTCAGACAGGGGTTCCCAATTTATTTCCCGTTTTTGGAGATCCTTCTGTTCACAGTTGGGCATCAAACTGAATTTTTTTTTCGGCCTATCATCCTCAATCTAACGGAGCAGCCGAACGCACTAACCAAAAAATTGAGCAATATCTACGTTGTTTTGTTTCTGAACACCAGGATGACTGGGTCGGTCTGATTCCTTGGGTGGAGTTTGCTCACAACAACCTTGTTTGTGGTTCCACTCGTAATAGCCCCTTTTTCTTGAACTATGGCTTTAACCCTACTGTTCTTCCGTCGGTGTCTCCTTCCCAGGGTATACCGTCGGTTGATATTCATATAGCCAAACTGAGAAAGTTGTGGGATCAGACTCGACAAATTCTTGAACGTAGTTCCGCGGTGTTTAAGTCACATGCTGATAGGCGTAGACGTCCTGCTCCTATTTTTTCTCCGGGGATAGGGTCTGGTTGTGTACCAGACACATTCGCCTGAAAGTTCCTTCCTTGAAGTTTGCTCCTCGTTACATTGGTCCTTACAGGGTACTGAGGAGGATCAACCCGGTTTCTTATTTGCTGGATCTACCTCCCACTCTACGCATCCCTAACTCTTTTCATGTGTCGTTATTGAAACCTCTTGTTTGTAACAGATTTTCCTCCCGCTCTGCTCCTCCATCCTCGGTCCGTGTGGATGGTCAGGAGGAATATATCATCAAGTCCATCCTTGATTCTCGTATTTCTAGGGGGAAGCTGCAATATCTCATAGACTGGAAAGGTTATGGTCCAGAAGAGAGGTCTTGGGTTCCTGGTATAGACGTGCATGCTCCTCGTCTTCTTCGGGCCTTCCACGTTCGTTTTCCTTCTAAACCAGGTCCCATCCGCCCAGTGGGCGTTTCTAGAAGGGGGGGTACTGTCAGGGTACCTGTTGGTGATGTATCCAGGGAGGACATCCTCTCTGCTTAGGGGCTCCCTTCCCCTAGCATTTCGGCATATTCCGGCCGTTTTCGCGCCGGCCGCGCTAGCTTCTCCCCCTTTTATGACACGACGGCTAGCGTCGACGTCATGACGTCGGCATTTGCATAAAGTGCCGGGAACCGCTATTCCGGACCTTTTGGGGGCGTGGTCTCTATTTAGGTACAGGGTATTTAAAGGAAACCTTTACTACTGCTCATTGCCCTGTCGTGGTTCTAGCTTGTTAGTCACTCAGCGCGTTCTTTATCTTGTGTTTCCGGTTTTGACCCTTGCTTGTCTTTTGTCCTGTTGTCCTCTCCTCTCCTTTGACTCGGCTTGTATCTCGCTTACCTGTCCTCCGGCTCCCTTGACCTCGGCTTACCTTTTGACTATTCCTGCTTTGTCCTTACGTTAGTCCGGCCATTCTAAGGTCCGGTATACGTACCTCCTTCTGTGCGCACTCTGCGTATTGGATCCCTGTCAGTTTCCTGACAGTTATGTCACATTAAGTTCTGAGAGGGAATGTGTCCTATTAGCGGAGAGCCAGGTTAACCCTTTCTATGGCGGAGATCAGTCAGCACTCCTTCCTATCCCATGTTGCACACGGGAGCAAGACAGAATGACACACCACGCCCACTAGCTCTCACACCACACTCCCTAGCACACCACCCCATTTAGCGCTTTCACACACCACACCCGCTAGCACACCACGCCTCCTAGCGCTCTCAAACACCACACCCCCTAGCACACCACGCCTCCTAGCGCTCTCACACACCACACCCCCTAGCACACCACGCCTCCTAGCGCTCACACACCACACCCCCTAGCACACCACGCCCCCTAGAGGGACCTGATGTGCGCGTCCCAGGTCCCGTGGATTGAGTAGGAGTTGATGGGATTGAGTGGGAGTTTGTCAGGATTACAAGTTGATCAAGCACGCAGTAATGTGTCACACTAAAGATAACGTATAACCAGACCTTAGAATGGCCAGACTTAACGTCTCCAAGAATAGTCAAAATACTTGCCGAGGTCAGGGACACAAAATCAGACGCAAAGATGAGGGAAAGCTAAAAGTCAAGGATAGAAGATATCAGGGAAATGAAATACCAGAAGATCAAGATCAGGAACACACTCTCGGATAACCATGGGTATGAAACCACAACAGGGCACTGAGCAAGAGGAGAGTTGGGTTTAAATACCCCCCACGTGGATCCGATTGGCTGTAACTGGCCTTTGACCCAAAAAGCAATTACCAGGTTTGCATGTTCATGATTGCTATTCGGCACAACTTTTCCTCTCAGGACAGTAAATGCCATTAACCTAATTTTTATGTGCGGATTAATACGTGACAGAATTAAAGGGAATGAGTGCGAGTTGATGGGATTGAATAGGAGTTAGTGGGAGTTAATGGGATTGAGTGGGAGTTAGTGAGAGTTAATGGACTGGGTGGGAGTTAGTGGCTTGAGTGGGAGTTAGTTAATGGATTGAGTGGGAGTTAGTTAATGGATTGAGTGGAAGTTAATGGATTGAGTGGGAGTTAGTTAATGGATTGGGTGGGAGTTAGTTAATGAATTGAGTGGGAGTTAGTTAATGGACTGAGTGGAAGTTAATGGATTGAGTGGGAGTTAGTTAATGGATTGAGTGGGAGTTAGCTAATGGATTGAGTGGGAGTTAGTTAATGGATTGAGTGGGAGTTAGCTAATTGAGTGGGAGTTAGTTAGTGGGATTGAGTGGGAGTTAGTTAATGGATTGAGTGGGAGTTAATGGATTGTGTGGGAGTTAGTTAATGGATTGTGTGGGAGTTAGTTAGTGGATTGGGTGGGAGTTAGTTAATGGATTGTGTGGGAGTTAGTTAATGGATTGAGTGGGAGTTAGTTAATGGATTGAGTGGAAGTTAATGGATTGAGTGGGAGTTAGTTAATGGATTGGGTGGAAGTTAATGAATTGAGTGGGAGTTAGTTAATGGACTGAGTGGAAGTTAATGGATTGAGTGGGAGTTAGTTAATGGATTGAGTGGGAGTTAGCTAATGGATTGAGTGGGAGTTAGTTAATGGATTGAGTGGGAGTTAGCTAATGGATTGAGTGGGAGTTAGTTAATGGATTGAGTGGGAGTTAGCTAATGGATTGAGTGGGAGTTAGTTAATGGATTGAGTGGGAGTTAGCTAATAGATTGAGTGGGAGTTAGTTAATGGATTGAGTGGGAGTTAGTTAATGGATTGAGTGGGAGTTAGTTAGTGGGATTGAGTGGGAGTTAGTTAATGGATTGAGTGGAAGTTAATGGATTGTGTGGGAGTTAGTTAATGGATTGTGTGGGAGTTAGTTAGTGGATTGGGTG